CACCGGGCAGCACCGCGGACAGCAGTAGCACCGCGGACAGCAGCAGCACCGCGGACAGCAGCAGCACCGCGGACAGCAGCAGCACCGCGGACAGCAGCAGCACCGCGGACAGCGCCGGTCACCGCCGCGCCCTGGCCGGGCCGGGCTGCGCTGCCGCCCGCCGCTTTCCGCCCGAGTTGCGGTGCAGTCCCTCCCGCTCCGTCCCCTCGGCCGGCAGCGCCCGACCCCTGCCCGCCCGCAACGTGCCTGTCCCGGCTGCGCGGGGTCCCCGGCGGCGATGCGGGCCGGCAGCGCGGGGGCTCCCGGAGCGCGCGGCCGCGGCTGCCGGGCAGCACCGGGACTCGCTCCCGCTGCCGCCGCTCCTCATCTCCCCGGAGCCGGCAGGGAGGGAGGAGGAGGGACCGGGGGCGGCTCCGGCGGTGCGGAGGACCCGCTCTACTTGTGGGTCTCTAACGGGGAGAGCCGCGGGCGCGCCGGCACCGCCACCTCGTGTCCGTCCCCGCTGCTGGCCCGGGCGCTGCGGGCACGGAGAGAGGAGCCGGCATCCCGGCGGCGGCCGAAACCCAGCGGAGCAGCTGCGGGAGCGGCTCCCCGGAGCACCCCACTCTGCCGGGCGTCCGCGGGAACGGGGCAGCACGGCCCCGTGACAGCTCCCACCACTTCTGGGCAAAAACACCCTTCTCGGAATGATAGCATATGAGAAAAGAAAGCCTTTTACTCAAACGTTGGCTAAAAGCTTTAGAGTGAAGTCTCTGTGTGATGGAGTCACCGTGCAGGGGTAGATTTTGCTGACTGCACTTAAGTTCCCAGATTCACAGAATATTATGAGTTGGAAGGGTCAAGGATCATGGAGTCCGGCTCTTAAATAAATCCACACGGGGATTGAATCCACAGCCTTGGTGTATTACACCAGCTGAGGCTGCAGATACTTCAGTGAGATTCTTCTAAAAACATAGTGGTAACTTAAAACAAAATAGCCAAAAAGAATACTTTTCAAGGCTAAGACAGAAAAATCATTACTTGTGTACCTACAGACTTTTCAAATTAAATCTGAGAGCTGAACAGTTAATCAAACCCTTGATTTTTACCTTCATTCATTAATTCTAAGCAATTGCTGCACTGATGAACTGTTCAGCATCCTTATTTTCAAACCAGCAGAATGTGGTGCCACTACAGGGTGTGCTGGTTGTGCCTCAGACAAGCCCAAGTCCTGCATCCTGCCTTTGTGGCTCTGCAGAGCAGCTGAAGCAGTGCAGGTCAAGTGCTCCGTAACCCCTGCACAGAGGATTTAAAGGTGGGATGTGAGATCATGTTCACTTAAATGTCTTCATTACTTTTTTAAGAGCCTGGTGCAGTCGGTGCAGACAGGATTTAACCCCTGCATGACCAGCCAGAGGGATGACAGCTGCCTCTGGGAGTGACAGCGCTGTCCCTGTTCAAAGCAGGGAGAATTGCATCAGCTCTTGCAAATATTTCAGTTGTCCATGCTAGCTCATATGCTGCAATCTAACTAAAATCCATTTCCATAAAGGCAGGGGTGCCATATTGGCAGGGCTTGGAGAACCAATTTCCTCTCCCCAGTAGGAGCTGAGGGTGCTCAAACCAGCACGGAGGCGTTTGTGATGTCCCCATGACAGCAACCAAAGGCCCGAGGCTGGGGTGGAGCCCAGCCCGGCTGCTGGGGGCCAGGACACCACAGCGAGCGGGATGTGCAGGTGCTCAGCCAGCAGGGACAGCAGTTATCCACACCTGGGACTCCTGACAAGCTCTAACGAGCATCAGGCACGGATTCCCTGTGATTAGCCAGGAGAGACAGCTCTAAGCTCGAAGTCTTTTTGAAACATTATCATCAGAATTGCCCTTTGAAAAGAACAAAAACCATAGAATTTTAATCACAACAGCTTTAGAAATGCAACTGCACTTTTCAAATAGTAATGAAAGCAATTCAGCACCTGCTTTTATTTCTTCACATGGGACGTTCCAATCATTTCACTGTAACACAATTTCCTTTGATGAAATGACTTCAGGAGTAAAAGCACCACGTAATGCTCCCCAGCTAAATACAAGCCATGGGCCAAATCCATCAAAATGCAGTCTGAGAGAGTGAAACTTTAAAATCTGAGCTAAATGCATGGTGACCTAAATGTAAAATATGTGTCAGGACCACACCACAGGACCACACCAAGGAGCAGCTACAGTTCTGATGGAAGAGAAAAGCAGTATCCATCAAAGGGAGGAGGATGAAGCACTTCCCACTTCTGATAGATGCGTCGATAGCTTTCAGGGCAGGCAAGGGAAAATTTAGCCTGAGCTTGAAGTGTATGTTCCAAAAGCCCCAGCACAGCCGTGCTGGAAGCCAGTCCATGAATGCTGTGACATCATTCACAGGTTCGAGGTCGTTCCTTATGACAAAGTGATAAATTGGCATTTCAGGAAGTCATGCAACAACTGACTTTATGGAATTTGGTGGGTGTTAGAAATAGGTGTCTGAAAAGCAGCAGCAATGAGGGCTAGAAAGGAAGGGCAGCGTTACCTGGGCTGGAGTAGCAGAGTGTGTGTGTGTGTGTGTGTGTGTGTATCACCTCCCATCTCCAGAGGAAACACACAGGCTAGAAATTCGAATCAAGTCACCCACACATAGTGAGAAATGTGGAAGTTGTTTATCAGCAACAACACAAGAGCTTTGAGGTGTCTGGAGAAGGAGCAATTGAAAGTAGCAGAATCTGAAGTAGCAATTCTGAGGAAAAAATACATTCAAGTTGGATTTTGGATAGAAGATTCCACCTAAAAAGCCACATGAGAACTTTTATCGCTGTGTGTGATCTTTACACACAATAGTTAAAATAAAAAAGGAAGAAAGAAGAACAGCACTTCCAGTTCCAGGCTTGCACTTTGATTCAGGGACAACTTCAAGGTGCCACCTAAGGATCCTTCAGCCCTGTTCCCTGTAACATTCTGTGCTTCTCAGCAGGCTCGTGTCTGAGTACTGAGCCCAGGCAATGTTTCCCAGGGCAGAATTCCCCCAAGCCAGTGAGAAGAGGGCAGTTTCTGACAATGCTGGCATGGCAGAGCAAATGTCTGGACTGGGCCTGTCATGAGGGCCGTGGTTTCCCCAAGAGGCAGAACCGTGTCCTGCACTGGTGCTCCCAGACAGGACTGCCAATCCAGCCTCAACCCACGGCACAGAACAGAGCCTGGGAGGAACCCAGATTCCTGAGAGAGCCAGCCCCCTAACCCAGACACCCCTCCAGCAGGGGGGTATCCTTCCCATCACCCAGCTCCAGAGACTGAGCTCCCTGCAAGGCAAGCCAGGCAAGAACAAGTGATACGAGCTAAATCAGAGATTATCCCCTGATCCAGCAGTGTGAATTACACACAGTGAAATTCTCATCTGCCCAAATCCAGCAGTACGTGCGAATGGGAAGCCCTAACAAATCTTTTACTTTGAAGAAAAAGCATAAAGCCACACTAAATGGCTGAGTGTCCCTGAGAAAGGATCTTCCAGCAAAGAGCGTGAGTGCCATGAAGGCGGGTTTGTTCACAGAGTAAAGCATTACACAGATTTGCCCTTGATCTTTTATTCATAACTCAAGTGCATAATGTACTTTCATCCCAAACAAGCGAAGGGGAAGAGCAGCTTTCCCAGCTGCTCAGGATGCGAGCACAGGCTGGGAGCAAGGCTCAAATGGAGACACGACATCGCTTTCTGCCACCGTGCATCACACAGACAGGGGTCACAGCTCCTGCACAGAAACCCTTTGCTCCTTCTGGCGAACACCAGACCCACAGCACACACACAGCACAAGGTCTGAGCCTTCCGAAAGCTGCCAGTACCAGGGAACCATGTTCCAGTGATCTCCATATCAATCACTGCACATCGGGGAACATTCTGGAGAATAACTGATATATGTGTGCTGACAACTCCTTTGGAATTCCATGGCCACTGTTCAACAAAGCAATCTGCTACGCAAACAGCCCTGACCCCGCGAGAGAGCCAGCACGTGCAGGCAGGCAGAGACCTCACGGACACACTGGCAACCAAGGATGAAAATCAAACAAAAATCGCTGCTTTCAGTCTCCCCTCTGCAAGGCGCTTCCTTCTCCCTTTCAAGTTCTGCCAAAGAAGGCCTATTTCAGCAGACATCTTCCTCCTCTCCTCCCATTCCTCCAGAGGTCTTTGAATAACACTTTTATTCTCAGTCTAATTCAAATTATTCTGTTATTAACACTGTGCTTTTTAACATTACAGCTACAACAAAGCTTTGGTAGCATTATCATGACACCAGCACTGTGTAACCCATGTACTGAGTACTTTTACTCTTCCGAGGTTGGAGCCATTTCAAGGTCTCTTGCAAATCCAAATTCCCTGTCCAGGTGGTGTTCAAGACCAGTGGGGCCTGGAGCAATCTGGGCTATGGATGGGATAAGTTTTAAGGTCCTTTCAACCCCAAAGCAGTGTGGGATTCTGGCATTGTGTGGTAGTCTGCAGTGCAGCTGGAGCTGGTGCCTTGGTGAAGGGACGGTGCCTGGTGTTTGGTGTTTGGTGTGTGGCGTTTGGAGTTTGGCGTTTGGTGTTTGGTGTGTGGCGTTTGGTGTGTGGTGTTTGGTGTGTGGTGTGTGGCGTTTGGTGTGTGGTTTTTGGTGTGTGGCGTTTGGTGTTTGGTGTTTGGTGTTTGGTGTTTGGTGTGTGGTGTTTGGTGTTTGGTGTTTGGTGTGTGGTGTGTGGTGTGTGGTGTGTAGCGTTTGGTGTGTAGCGTTTGGTGTTTGGTGTGTGGTGTTTGGTGTTTGGTGTGTGGTGTGTGGTGTTTGGTGTGTGGTGTGTGGTGTTTGGTGTTTGGTTGGTGTTTGGTACCTCCCCAGGCTCCAGGCAGTCCACGGGCTGCACTTCCCAAACCGCGGGGAAGGAGCAGCCGTGCAGCTGCAGTGCCTGCCCTTCC